CCACATTACCCCAAATATTGTCTGTTTCCTACAATAAGAGCATTCTCCTACATACCCAGAATATAGCCTGCAGAATCAGGAAATCGATACATTATTATCCTTGATTCTCAGATCCCATTGAAATTTTGCCAGTGCTCCAATAACATATCTGGTAAAAGAAGCAACTTAGAATTGCACATTGTAGTCTCTTGCAGTGGGAAACAGTTCCTTAGTTTTCCTTCCATGATCTTTTTTTAAAAGTGTGTAATTCATGTAGAGTTGTATAGCCATCACCACAATCTAATGATAGAACATTTCTGGCACACTCCAGAAAACCTGTTTCCACTCCCAGCCAACCGCTAACCTACCTTCTATCTCTGTAGAATTGTCTTTTCCGAATATTTCACATAAATGGAGTCAGACAATGTGAGAACTTTTGCATCTGGCTTCTTTCACATAGCATAATGTTTTTGAGATTCATTCAGGTTGTGGCATACATCAGTACCTAGTTTTTAATGCCAAGTAACATTCTTTTGTATGGGTATACCACATTTTGTTTATCCATTTACCATTTGAAGGACATTCAAATTGTTTCCACAGTTTGGCTGTTATGAGTACCGATACCTTGTATGGTCTGGACACTTCTGAATATTATAGGCTAGTTATATTACAGTGTCTATTAATTTGGTCTAAGACGTCTACCAGACTTCTTTGAATTGCTTTTTCCTTAGGTTATTTATTTAGAGGGTGGAGAGGGGCAGAGGGAGAGGGAAAGAGAGAATCTTAAGTAGACTCCATGACCAGTGTGTGGCCTGACACTAGGCTCACGACCCTGAGATCATAACCTGAGCCCAAATCAAGAGTTGGACGCTTAACTGACTGAGCCACCCAGGAGCCCCTTTCCTTTGGTTATTATTAAGTAATTTTTAGGGAGGTGCTTGGAAGTCCTGTTCATATCCTGTTCCTCATCAGATTTTCAGTGTATTTAATTATTTATATCATCATGGACTTAAGTTTATATTCTGGGTTATATTTTAGTTACTGTTGATGTATGCCAAATCACCCCAGAACTTCATAGAATAAAACATTTGATTAAAACCCAGTAATTCTTTCAATCTGGAGTTCAGACCGGAGCAGGGGAATCTGGGAAGACCCAAAGGCTGGGGTGACTTGACAGCCAGGTGTCTAGAAATATCTTCACTTATATGTCTGGTGATTGATGGTGGAACATCTCCATGTGGTCTCTCCATGTGAGCTAGTTGAGCTTCCTCAAGACATGGTGTCTGGATTCTAAGAGTGATGGTCCCCAGAGAACAGGCAGAAGCAAGTAACATTTTTATGCTCTAGTCTTGGAAGTCACATGGCATTACTTCTGCCATACTTTATTAGTTGAGGCAGCCACAAAGTTCTGCCCAGGTTCAAGGGGTTCAAGGGGCATAAATGCCCCACTTTGGGGGAGGACTGTCAAGATCTCATATATATTTTTTTAAATATTTATTTATTTATTAGAGCATGTGTGGAGGGAGAGGGAGAGAATGTTAAGCAGACTCCATGCCCAGTGCAGCAGCCAATGTGGGGCTCAATCTCATGACCCTGAGATCATGACTGAGCCAAAATCAAGAGATGCTTAACTGACTGAGCCACCCAGGTGCCCCAAGATCAAATTGTAAAAGAGCATGTGGGACAGGAGGTACTGTTGCATTGTGTTTGGAAAATTCAGTGCCACAGGTTGTAATCTATTACTATCATTTATTTGATGCCCGAATTGTCCCATATTTGGGTTGTGGGAATTTATTTAACTTGGTTTCTTTTGAGTCATTTTGACATGTCTCACCATTCTTTGAGCAACTTTCCTATTTTCTGGTACAGGACAGTCTTGGCTAGTCTTGTCTTTCCCATGCTTCAGCCCTAGAATCAGCCATTTTTCTAAGGAGCCCTGGTTCTTTTTAATGGAAGGTGGTGTTTAGAAAGTAAGATTTGGGGGGCGCCTGGGTGGCACAGTCATGTAAGCATCCAACTCTTGGTTTTGGCTCAGAGTCATGAGATTGAACCCTATGTTAGGTTCTGCACGCAGTGCTGAATCTGCTTGAGACTCTGCCTTTGTCCCTCCCCCCAGCTCACTTGCTCTCATTCTGTCTCTCAAATAAATAAGTAAATTTAAAAAAAAAGGGAAAGAAAGAAAGATTTGGGCCTTAGGAGTGCTCACTGCTGCTGGGGTGAAAAAAAAATTCCAGACTCTTCCATCTTCCATAGTGGGCAAAGCTATGGAATATATACACACACATTTACAACCGTGTTTTTTACTTATGTATGTATTGAAAACAATAAGGTCACACCTGTACCTCCTATTCTGGTAAAGTACCACAGGGTTTAGTTTAATATTATGCCTTCTTAGATATTTTAAAAACAGCTTTATGGAGATGTAATTTACATACCATACAATTCACCTGTTTAAAGTATATAGCTCACTCGTGTTTATTTAGTATATTCACAGAATTGTGCATACCTCACCACAGTTGATTTTTAGAACATTGTCATTGTTCCAAAAAGAAATCCTGTTCCCCTTAGCCATCACCTTCCATTCTTCAACAGCCCCCCCCCAGGTAACTAGTATTCTACTTTCTGTCTCTGTAAATTTGTCTGTTCTGGACACTTCTGATGAATGGAATCATACAATATGTGATCCTACGTGTCTGGCTTCTTTGACTTAGCATAATGTTCTCCAGGGGTAATCCACATCATAGCACCCGTCAGTACTTCATTTCTTTTTATGGCCAAACATTTCATTGTATGTATAGACTACATTTTATTTATCCATTCATCAGTTGATGGACATGTGAGTTGTTTCTACTTTTTGGCTATTGTGAGTAATGCTGCTGTGAACATTTGTGAACAAGTTTTTGTTTGGGTGCATGTTTTTAATTTCTCTTGGGTGAAATTGATGATTCATACGGTACCTATATGTTTCATCTTTTGAGGAACTGCCAAACTGTTTTCCAGAGTGACTGCACCATTGTACATTATTACTATAATGTAGAGAGATCCAGTTCCTCCACATCCTCTCCAACACTTGTGTTTTTTCTCTTTTTTTAAATTATAGTCATTTTAGTAGGCATAAAGTTACATATTTCATTGTAATGAGTTTTGAGTTTCATTTCCCCACAGCTAACGTTGTTTAGCATCTTTTCATGTGATTAATAGTCATTTGCATATTATCTTTGGAGAAATTCAGATCTTTTGCCCCTTTTCTTTTTTTTTTTTTTTTAAGATTTTATTTATTTATTTGAGAGAGAATGAGAGAGAGAGCACATGAGGGGGGGAGGGTCAGAGGGAGAAGCAGACTCCCCGCTGAGCAGGGAGCCTGATGTGGGACGGGGGGGCGGGACTCCAGGATCATGACCTGAGCTGAAGGCAGTTGCTTAACCAACTGAGCCACCCAGGCGCCCTTGCCCCTTTTCTTTCTTTCTTTTTTTTTTTTTTTAGTTTTACTATTTTGGGGGCTCCTGGGTGGCTCAGTTGGTTGAGCAACTGCCTTCAGCTCAGGTCATGATCCTGGAGTCCCGGGATCGAGTCCCACATCAGGCTCCCTGCTCAGCGGGGAGTCTGCTTCTCCCTCTGACCCTCCCCCCTCTCATGCTCTCTCTCTGTCTCATTCTTTCTCTCAAATAAATAAAATCTTTAAAAAAAATAAAGATTTATTACTTTTTAGCGAGAGAGCTTGAGCAAGAGAGAATCTCAAGCAGACTCTGCACTGAGTGCAGGGCCCGATGTGGGGCTGAATCCCACGACCCTGAGATCACGACCTGAACTGAAACCATGAGTCAGACACTTAACAGGCTGTGCCACCCAGGCGCCTCTGTTTTGCCCATTTTTAAGTTGGGTTATTTGTCTTAATTATTGAGTTACAAGAGTTCTTTACATATTCTGGATATAAGTTTCTTATCAGAAATAATGATTTGCAAATGTTTCCTCCCATTTTGTGGATTCTCTTTTTGCTTTTTTGATGGTTTCCTTTGAAGTGTAAAAGTATTTTATTTAGGGGTTCCTGGGTGGCTCAGTCGGTTAAGCGTCTGCCTTCAACTCAGGTCATGATCCCGGGGTCCTGGGATTGAGCCCCGCATCGGGCTCCCTGCTCGGCGGGGAGTCTGCTTGTCCCTCTCCCTCTGCTGCTCCCTCCTGCTTGTGTGCTCTCTCTCTCTCTCTGCACTCTCTCATTCAAATAAATAGAAATCTTAAAAAGTTTTATTTTGATGAAGTCCAACTTCTCTTTTTCTTTAGTTGTTTGTGGTTTTTGGTGTCTTATCTAAGGTCCATTGCCAGATCCAAGGTTATGAAGATTTATGCCTGTTTTCTTTCAAGAGATTTAAAGTTTAAGCTCTTACATGGAGGTGTATGATCCATTTTGAGTTAATTTTTGTGTGTGATGGAAGTAAAGAGTCCAGCTTCATTCTTTGGCATGTGGATATGTAGTTGTCCTAGCGTAATTTGTTGAAAATTACTCTGGGGGCGCCTGGGTGGCTCAGTCGTTAAGTGTCTGCTTTCGGCTCAGGTCATGGTCCCAGGGTCCTGGGATCGAGCCCCGCATCGGGCTCCCTGCTCAGTGGGAAGCTTGTTTCTCCCTCTCCCACTCCCCCTGCTTGTGTTCCCTCTCTCGCTGTCACTGTCTCTGTCAAATAAATAAATCTTAAAAAAAAAAAGATGAAAATTACTCTGTTCTTTTTTTTTTTTTAAGATTTATTTATTTGAGAGAAAGAGAATGCGAAGTGGGGAGGCAGATTTTTTTTTTTTTACCACCGTCTCAGGCAGACTCCATGCTGAGTGCAGAGCCCAACGGACTTGCTCTCATGACCCCAAGATCATGACCTAAGCCGAAACCAAGTCGGACGCCCAACCGACTGTGCCACCCATGCGCCCTGAAAATTACTCTGTTGTGTTTTACCAACTCAGTTAAATATGTAGATGTCAATAAAGGTACTCAGTTTTGTTTTCTTTTTTCTTTTTTTTAAGGAAAAAATTCAAAAATGTTTCAAATTCCTGTGGAAAATCTTGACAACATTTTTTTTTTACGAAAGAAGGTGAAAGGCATTCTTGTGGATATTGGGCTTGACAGCTGCAAGGAGCTGCTGAAGGTGAGCACGCAGGCGGGGCTCAGGGAGGACCTGGCAGCAGAGACGCAGAGCCGGCCTCGCGGAGCTGAGATCTGCACCGGGACTGTCTGAAGGGTGCGCGAGGTCCCTCAGGCTGGAATTGCCAGTATTTCAGATGGCTGCACGAGCGCATAATTAGTCCATACTTACGTCTTTCTGACTTAAAGTGAGCTCTTTTAAGCTGTTCAAGCTTTTAAAGTTACCTTTAGTTGGGGCTTTTTATAGTTATTAGTTATCAAATGTATTTGTTTTTGATCTTCGAAGGGAATGTGTTGAATTGTTACTCCAGCAAAAGATGACTCTAACTTAATCCCCTGGATTGTTGGAGTAATTACCAAATGGGGATTCATACATGATGTGATAGGGCTTTTCTGATTTGTGAATTTAATATATGCAGTTTTAACAAAAGTTTAAAAATTAAGGTCACAGTCACATACTCTGGTAAGGTGTGATCTCAGAATTTTTTCCTTTCTTATAACTTGAGAATATATGGCTGGCATCTATAGTAAAGGAATAGAAATTGTTAAGTAAGGCTTGGTGTGTATCTTTAAAGCCACTGGTAATTCTGTGCATGTTTTATTCATAACTGTAAAAGTAAGGACCATGTCTACTTTGAGTTTTTCTTAAACTTGTGAACAATTAAATTCACAGTATTGGCTTGGGAAGGTTTCAGTGTCTTAATTTTCAAATCTCAGACTTTCATCCAGATTGATTTTATTTATAAAAAGTGGTCTAATACTAAAAGACTAATAATTACCAGGATCCTCATTAATGGCCAGGATTGATTTTTGCCCTCAAGTAGACAAATGCTAATTTCTGAAGGACTCCAGGAAATTGAGTGTTCAGACATTGCCACCTCGGGGAGCTCTTCCCTCTGAAGCGCTGCCTTCTCTGTTCTCGTTTGTTGTGCTTCAGAGCTCTCATAGCACCTGACACGGTTTATTATCTGGCCCCCCCCCCCCGAATGTGAGAGGACAAGGACCTCTGTTTTGTTAATTACCTGTGATCAGGATTATAGTCTGGCACAGAGATGTTTAATATACATATATTTAACAAGTAGGTTTTGAATGAACGAACAAAAGTAAAAACCCAAGTACAGCAATACTTTCAATAACAGACTGTGACCGAAAGTCCATTTGCAAATAAAAGGATGCGGGAGGTACCAGAGTGGAAGCTCTTGGGTAGATACTGCTGCTCAGGAATAGTCTTAAAGTCAAAGAATCTCAGAGTTCTTTGCATCTCTGTTTATAAGTCATATTTGATACATGAGGAAGAAAGCAAGGTAATTATTTGGAGATAAGATTGAGCAGGTAGATAGTAGACATAGTCCATTAGTAATAGGTAACTCTTGTAAAGTTCCTGGACCCAATTCTGATACAACACCAGGTGTTCTGGTTTCCCACATGTGGGAGTTCTCTGAAGCGGGGAATAAAATTCTTATGGAGGCTTCATTACATAGTCAAGGTTGATTCACTGATTCAACCTCCAGCCCCTCTCACTGCCCATGAAGTTGGGGTAGGCCTGAAGGTCCCACTCCTCTAATCACATGATTGGTCCTCCTGGGAATTAACTGCACCCTTGGGTAGGGTCTACAAGTCACCTTCATTAGTAACAAGACATCCATTGCACCTTTATGGTTTTGACGCATTATCAGGAACTGTGAGTGAAGACCAAATTTATCTGAGAAATATGTATTTGGTCATCTGAATGATGTTATAAATCATTTCTTATAACTTTCTTGTAAATCATTTTATTGCAGTAAGTACATGTATTTAAGTAATATTTGTAGAGAATATATAAATTAAGAACACAAGTGTATGTATATAGATACAGGATATTTCAAACGATAATATATGGGAACCCCTTACAGTGGTGCCTGGCATGTGGTAGATGCTCAAAAAATGAACCCTGAAGGTATAGTACTATCCTTCAGTAGACAGACTGAGAATGTTCTTGGATCATTGGGGGGATAAAGAGATGACTTTTATTTTAATCTTGGCTCTTAGCTAATTATGTGCCCTTGGGCAAATCAGTTAATCTTTGGGCCTGTGTCCTTATTGCAGTGAAGTAATGTAGAGAATTAGGGTACTAGGATACTCTCCCCTATTAGAGAAATGACAGTTTAGCAGGAGCTGAGAGACAAACTTAACGATAATAGTGAGAAATAGGCAGAAAGATCACTTCTAGCTGGGGAAGCTAGAGTAGCCTTTATGGAGATGAGATTTGAACTGTTTTTTGTTTGTTTTTAAAGAATGGGTAGGATTACCCAGTGGAAAGAATTAGAAGGGGTATTCCAGAAACATGGAATTTAAAACCACAACCCAGTTGATTAACCCCCATCAAACTAGGCTGAGTGAATTCAGGAACACATTACCCTTTAACCATATCAAACAATCATTCTCATTTTACCATGTTTGCTTAAACATTTGTTCACTTTTGTGTGTGTGTGTGTAATACTTCAAGTGTCTGTTTTCTAAGAATAAGGATATGTCTCTTACGTTACCACAGGATGGTTGTCAGCAGAAGTAAGCCGGTATTTTTATCTTGTCTGATCATTTATAGCACTCCTCCCTGTCTATGATGGACCCAGTCTAGGATTAGGCATGGCCTTCAGTTGTCATTTCTCTTTCGTCTCCTTGAATGTGAATTCACTTTTTCAATGGAATTCTGTTCCAAAATTGGTTTTGTCTTATTCTTAGATAAAACATTAGTAATAACTACAATTTTTCATCCTGGTATCCTTTGTTTTTGACATTGTATAGAACAATATTCCTCAGTAACTTCTGCTTCCTTAGTCAGCCTAAGAATGTGTTTACTCATCTGAATTTGTTCAAGACTTGTTTACTTTCTTGACTGTGCTGACACAGATACGTACATATTTCTCAAGGGAAAATTGAGAGATTTGAATGGCTTACAATTACTAAGTTAGTTAGATTAACTATTGGGCTAAATGTTACTAATTCTTCTGGGGAGAAAATTTTTTTTTTAAATCTGGAGTTCTGTATTTTATAAAATTGTTTAAAATTCAAGGAATGTGCAGTTCAGTTTAGAAAAATTAGGAAATATACGCAGAAATATAGATACAAGAAGACTCATCTGTAAGCCATTACCCAAAATATCCATTGTTAACATTGTTGTATGTCTTTCTAGATTTTTTTTAAGTGGGAGATCAAACTAAGATACTGTACTAGCTTTGTTTTGTCTTTTCACTGAATCTCATATTAATAATTCTTTCCCATGTCAGATGCATTTATTCTTAATCCCCCATAGTACTTAGAATTTCTTGGTTTCAAGCAACAGAAACAAACACTAGACCAACTTAAGCTAAAGGGAATTTACTGGAAGACTGAGGCTTGCAGAGTCTGTACTGGAGACTGAAGCAGCTGAGGGAACACCTGTCCGTGGTTCTTTCCACTTCCTTACCTAGCATTTCAAATTTCAGTGAGGTGTCACTTTGCCTTCTCTGATTTCCAAAGTGTCTGGGACTCTCTTTGTCCCAAGAGTGAAGACGTCAAATTTTAGGCTATACAGTTCTTGTTGAAAGCCTGTCTGAGAAAAATGAACTTTAGGGAAGATAGACTCTTCCAAGAACCTTATCTTCTTTTCTAAAAGTAGATCTAAACCCCGCTACTCTATTAGAGTTTCTTGATTTTTTTGAAAGTTAACATTTGATCACTTAAAGTAGGGGCTGGCGATGTAATTTACAGGGCACTGTGCACAATGAAAATGTGGACCTGGGCTGGCCTACAGGCCTGTTGTCCCAACCCACAGCATGTGGGCGACTCCCACGGGATGACATCCTCTGTGCTGGGGTGCTCATGGTATCTGGATCCAGGTAGGGTTCGAGGTCCCCACCTTGACCCCTTCTCTCCCTGAGTCTGTGCTATGCTTCCACTGGAGGTGATGATGGAATGTGGACTTCCTGACAGCTTGGTTACTGCCCCAAGTGGTAGAGGAGAGAGGGAGTGGTTGCAGGATGAGGGCAGAGAGAGGGAGGAGGTTGGGGTGAGTGGGAGACAGAGAGCAGGGACAGAGTCTTTCCCAGGAAAACTGGAAGTAGGACCATGTGTGAGCTGAAGCTCCAAGCGCCTGATGTGTGTCCCATTGTCCTGTCAGACTTTACTTCTATAAAATACAAATACAAATTCAAAATTAAAATTATTACTATTATTATTTTTTAAAGATTTTATTTGATAGAGAGAAAGAGCCAGTGAGCACAAGCAGAGGGAATGGCAGAGGGAGAGGGAGAAGCAGGCTCTGCACCGAGCAGGGAGCCTGACATGGGGCTCGATCCCAGGCCCCTGGGATCATGACCTGAGCCGAAGGCAGATGCTAACCATCTTGAGCCCCCAAAATTAAAATTATTAACAATTTCAAGATGGTGACAACAGAGCCTTAAACCCCAGCACTGGCCTGTCTGAGCATAGGGCCCTGTGTAGCTTCACTAGTCCTGTGACTTCTCCTTCCTGGAGAAGCCCTCACTGGTATTCTCTAAGACCTTGTCAGACTTTTTTTTTTTTTTAAGATTTTATTTATTTATCTGAGAGACAGTGTGTGGATGCGTGTGCAGGAGAGAGCCCGTGCAAGAGAGAGCGCCAGTGAGCCAGGGAGGGGCAGAGGAAGAAGGATAAGCAGACTCCCTGCTAAGCAGGGACCCTGGCTGGGGGCCTGAACCCACAACCTTGGGATCATGACCTGAGCCAAAGACAGCCAAAGGCAGATGCTTAACTGACTGAGACACCCAGGCACCCCTCATTGATCCATTTTGAATTAATTTTTGAATGTGGTGTGAAGTAGGAGTCCAACTTTGTTCTTTTGCCTGTGGAAATTCATTGTCCCAGCACCATTTATTGAAGATACTGTTTTCCCCTCATTGAATGGACTTGGCATCCTTGTCAAAAATCAGTTGGCCATGGAAGCTTGGGTTTATTTCTGGGCTCTCAATTCTGTTTGATTGGTCTGTATGTCCTTATGCTGGTACT